GCAAATCAACCATCCACATCAAAAGCTGCAGGACAGCCCACATTTCAGAAACAAATCAAAGAAAAAATAAACAAATTCTACTGTTCCTAATATTCTGTATGTTGCTCAAAAACAAAATATATTGTGTTCAGCAGAAAAAAATTGTTTTTTTTTTACCCTGTCATTTAAAAACACATTTTAGAGCTGTAACGACAATACCGTGATACCATGAAACCGTGATATTTTTGCTTAAGGTTATCATATCGTCAAAATCTCATACCGCCCCATGCCTAGTCCGCACATATTACTTTTGAATTTGTTTGTCTAGCAAATGCAACCTTTACTTTTAAGTAATATATATTGTTGAAATAGTTTGCTCCTGATGGACAGGATGGGAATTGAACCATTTTTTCACAGCATTTTATTAAAATTCAATTCCAGCTCAGTATGTTTGTGAAACTGAATAAAGCATTTAATCTTGACAAGCTGTACGTACATTCTATCAGTGGCTAGGATATTTTCTAAAGCTGTTTTGGTATGTTTCTTTTTAATATGTTGAAAAGAAATGTAAAAAAATGAAGTGAAAAATTTTCAAAAAATATATAATGTAATTTATATATATATTTTCTCCAATACATAAGGCTGCCAATTTAGATGCCTTGTCTCAAAGTAGAGTAAAATTTCCCACCATTGCAAAAAAAAAATATATGTATTTTGTTGGTAGTGGTGTATAATTTTCACCCTGCTGATGGACAACAGCATAAAAACATCTTAAACTCTCTGCTAATCTCAGTACAATTTGTTTGAATCTGTATTTTTTGCATTGACTGAATCAGGTGCCTTTAATGAAGCTTGAAGCCGCTAGAGCCGCTTGAAGCCGCTTTATTTGCTTCTTTGAAATGGATGCTTTCGGTCATGAAATAATGATGAGAGAAGGCTTTAAGAGATTAGCACAGCACTTCATTTAATCTTTAACATCCCTAATAAGAGGGTGTCTATTAGTCGAGCTCATATCAACAATTCTGTTATGATGCATTGTATACGTTTGCCTGGGCAACACGGCTCGAAATAATATGAGTAAAGTCAATTAAACGATGTACTTGGCATCCTCCTGTTAAATTTGCAACAAATCAGTCACCACAGGTAAATGTCTCCGTCTCTTGTGGCGAGAGGGTTTGCTCATCAGATTTCCTCTGCCTCGATTAGCTGTTGAAAGATTTTGCACACTGGTGTCAGAAGTGGCGTCGCCTTGCAAAAGAGAGCACTCACACATCAAATCAAACCCTGTCACTCTGTTTTTTCACCATTTGATTTTCTTTTTTTTTGTCTTCTGCAAAAGTGCATTCTGATCATTAGTTCTGGGGCCTTGAATTATTGTTATTGTCTTGTTTTGTGAGTTTTTGTGCTCCTTTTGTTTCTCCGAACTGTCTCTAGGGATGTTGGCGCTGAGCTCAGGGACTTTAGAAAGCTCTGATCTTTAAAATCTGCTGTCTCTGGGGCTCACATGCTCAGTTACCTGCAAGGCTTATAGGCCTATATATTAGTGTTGTCAAAATTAGCTTGGAAACGAGGTGGGCGGGGTTTTTTTTCTCAGTTTAACGCATTAAAAATATTTAATCCATTTAACGTAGGGTGCGGAGCTAGGGTTGGCCACCCCACTCACA